CAGGAAGCTGAGATCCAGTCAAGTCTTTCAGGTCTGAGCTTCTTGGTGAAGACCACGTAGGCTTCTCATGGCTATGGTGGTAGCACATGAATTTGTACATTAAATGGATAAGAAGCGATATCTGACTTAAATCCCTATCTGTAACCTCCTTTGTAGAAGCTGAAAGCAGACATTCTCACATAAAGTTGAACGACTATAAAACTTCATGCCTCAAGAATTTTGATTTGTCTTGACATTTGACAGTACAAAGCCACTAAAGCCACTAAAGCTGTCTGCTCTCTGGACCCACAGTCCACCTTCAGAAAATGAAGCAGAATCTCAAGGATATCACTTCAACGTGAATTGGATTTTGCAAAAGAATGAAATGCTTCATTTTCCCTTTGCTTTGTTTTATGATAGAGAACATTTCAACTTACTTGCATACTTAGATTATTCTTGGTATTTTATACATTTCAAAGCACTAAATGTCAGTTCCATTTAGTAAAGAGTAAATAGTTCATTTTCTCCCAAGATTTATGCCTTTTCTCCTTTAATGATCAGAAAGCTTCCATTTGAAGTTGAACAGTACAGAAGATTCAGTTATTTTCAGGGGTCTTCATCAACATCAATGTCACTTGCATTTGTTGGTATTTCACTGAAAATTAAGCAACAGCACCTTGTAATAAGTGAGAAAAAAGGAATTTCTGAAGTCAAAAGAATTAGTCCATTCACTCACTCAATAAACATTTTTAACTCATTCACTTGATAAAGGGGCATAACTCCCATAAAACTTATACAGTGTTATGGAAATTGGCACGTAGTTTTAGCATAATTTTAATGAGTAGAAAAGAACTAATTTAAATGCTTTAGGAAGTAAGGTGAAAGTTGCAGATAAGTGTTCTGTTCTGATATCTTTCCTACTGAGGGGATTATATTGTCAGTTTCAAAATACCATAATGCTCTAAAAATTACCTGAAAAGAGTTTTGCCGCATTTATATTTTTGCCTTTGGCAAGCACTTAGTTTGGAGATAAGGAGGAAGCCCGAGAGGGGTGCGTCCTTCCTTTATGTTCCTTTCACTCCATTCAGCCCAGACTGCGGAATCCCAGGACTATCTTAAGTACACTACTTGGAGTTCTCAGCTTCCCATCTTTAATTACTTACCTAACTTCTGTGCCTCAGGTTCATCTCTGGAAACAAAGAGACTAATTTTATCTACCTCATCGTTATCTTTTATGATCTTTGGAGTGAGATGGATGCAAAATGCTCACAGTGTCTGGTTCATAATAGTAAATATAACTGTTACTATTTCTCAAACAAATATGTGGGGGGGGGTTATGAGTGTGTGGTTATATGTGCATACATGTGTGTGCGTGTGTGTGCGTGTGTTTGTATATACGTGAACATTGTGTATCTAGTGCTTACTAGAAATAGACAAGATAATTACTTGTCCAGGCTTATGATTTTAGGTTATTAGGATTGCATTGTATACCAGAGAAAGACTATGAAGGAAAGGGAGGGGAGAGGTAAAAATGGGTGGGGACAAGAGGCATTGCTTCCTGAAATGCATTATTTGTGTCATCTTCACTGAGTCCACACAGAGCCTATTCTTGAAGATGGATCCACAGTCTATCTTCTTGCATCATTTTTATCTGAATAGTCAGAGTTGCAGTATGGAATTTGGGAAGATGACAGAGGTTCTTAAAGTTATATTGACTCCTGGTGTCTATGGCCAACACTGTGAAATGGAACCAAAAATGTCTATTTTTTACCTTCTAGTATGACATCTCGAGTTATTTTCTCTCTATATATTTTCTCTCTATTTTCTCTCTATATACAGAGAACATCTCTTTTAGTGTTA